TTTTCAAAACAGCCAGCTGAACAAATATTAACATTTATAGTGCCTAGTTTGGGATTTACAGCCAATGAGTCAAAAAGGCATTTCTCAATGTTTGTTTGCCTTCAGAAGATCATCAGGACAGAGAGGAACACTTGTCCCAAAGATCTTAAAATTTGGGGAACTTGTGCAGGAGAATTGTCTTTCAGAACACAATTGCTCCAGAAATAGTCTAATAGCCAGTGAAGCTGCTGTAATGTGTGAGTTGCTACTCTATAAAACCTTAGCCAATTGTGTTCTGAGATAGAAGTTTCCAAACTCTTTAAAGAAGTCTTACTTAGAGGGTGTTTTGATAGTCCAAACAAGATGAAACAAAATCCCTGTCTGAAATCTCTGGAAACAAGTACACCTGGTACACTAACATTTGCTGCTTCAAAGCCCTCTTGGTCACTGCCAAAATGGGATATCCATCTTCAAAGCTGAATCCAGGAGTATGGCAAGAGTACAGAACTCTCCAAAGGGAGGGCAACTCTTTCCAAGAAACATTGGGAGTTCTGTCCCTAAATAAAATTTCTATTGACCAGGAAATTCTTTGTTTTTCTTGGATTAAGTTTCAGTTTATTCACTCTCACCCACCTGCTCTCTACATAAAACAAATTCAAACGATAAGTGTGTTCTTTTGAATTAAGTGGAAACTAGGCATGTACATACACGAGAGAGGATGCTAGCTGTCGTCATATTGGTGAATCAGATATCTTTTAGTTTCAGTAGCCAACACACATTTTGGTGCCTCAAATGTTAGCCCTGTTTCTGGGTATACTTGAGCTGCTTATTTGGAAAATGGTACCAGTTTCCTCCCTATTCTAGTTTTTGAGCTACAGAATATATGTTATCTACCAGTCACCATCTCCTTGCCCATAGAAAACAATGATAATCACGCCTAAGAAATTAGAGTTGGTGCAGTTTATCCAATGCAGTTTTCTGAATCAGCATCCCACATAATGAGAAGAACAGAACAAGCCTAAATACCAAGTCACCAAGGATTTTTATTGGGCTGTGTGTTAATAATACTGTAAACCAGATGTTCTCAAACTTTTTCAGCTGCAGAGCACTTTTTGAAGGAAAAGTTTCTCATGAGAGCCCCAAGAAATGTTTATATATTATATATTYTGTGTGTGTGTGTGTGTSTYTYTYTYTYTYTYTYTATATATATATATATATATATATATARACARACARACACACACACACACACACACACACACACACACAGAAGCACACTTTTGGACACAAGGGCCACCTTGTGTTTTAAAATTTGACAGATGYGCCGGGCCAGAAGCAGATGGATGGAGAATGTTGGTGTGAACCAYTTGAAAGAAACATGAACGAATTCCTGTGCCCACTACACATACCTCGTTTGTAGTGCAAGAAAGAAAGAACAATACAATATTTCAGCATGGCAAAGGGATGCATCCAGCAATGGAGGCTTCAGCTGTGGAACTTTTCGTCTGGGCACGCTTGGGGGAGGGGGGGGGGAGAGTGGGAAGAGGAGGGAAGCACAGAGCCCCTCAATTTGCTTCACGGAATCCTAAGGGCTTTGTAGAACACAGTCTGGGAACTGCTGTTATAAACAATAACAAAAATAGTCTTAGATGTATTACATTCCTTTGGTCTTCACTTGCTAGGCTGATTTCATTACATATTGCAGTTCATAATTTAATTGTTGCAGATTTGGATATGTAAGGTAAAGTTTTCCCCTTGACGTTAAGTCTGGTCGAGTCAGACTCTTGGGAGTGGTGCTCATCTCCATTTTTAAGCCAAAGAGCCAACGTTGTCCATAGACACCTCCTAGGCTGTGTGGTGCATGACTGCATGGAGCGCCGTTACCTTCCTGCCGAAGTGATACCTATTAATCTACTCACATTTGCATGTTTTCCAACTGCTAGGTTGGCAGAAGTGGTGGCTAACAATGGGAGCTCACTCCATCTGTGTATTTGAACCGCTGACCTTCCGGTCAGCAAGTTCTGCAGCTTAGTGGTTTAACCTGCTGCACCACTACGGAATATGTACATAAAAGTAAATGATATACAGTATACTCCAAACTAAATGTCATGTATTTTGATGAATGGTGTACTTTTTAGTGTGGAAAATAACTTATATCACTCACTTCTGAACCCAATTTGTGGTGTGGGTGTTTGGGTTTGAAATCTGGGACCAAAATAACTGCAAGAACATCTCTTTCAGTCTCGCCTCGCCTATGACTTAAGATCTTGCTTGGGAGGTTCTTCTCCAAGTATATTGGGCATAATCTGTATTAGCAAGGGTGAGAGTCTTCTCTCATGTGGCCTCCCTCATGTTGACCAGTCTTGTTGTAATGGAAAGAATAGTGTTACTGCTGGCAACAGTCAACTCCTTGATTGCTTAAAACTCTTTTAATAGCTAGAATAATAAGATACATGAAATGTATAGTTTAAATATATATCTTTGTTTTTAGAAGATAGTTTGACACTCTGAATTGTTCCTTTTAATAAATTATCTTTGGCAGGGGAAACTTAAGCCTTTTGAAGTAGGGCAACAAATACTCGGTACCCAAGTCAAGGTGCATAGCACCCAAACCCCACCAAGTTATTTTGACACTTGACTCAGGTACATATGCCCATTCTGCCATCTCTAACAATAAAATTCCAACAGCATCCAATTAAATAACAAAGTTTCCTGCCCTTTCATGACCTTTCGGGCCTGCTGCTTCAGTCTGCCTATTTGTTTGGTCCTGCTCTTGGCTTTGAAAATTCCCTCATTTGACATTAAATATGTCAGAATAAATTTCCACCTGCATTTGCTGGATCTCATTTTATTATAGCGATCTTCACAAGCAGCTCTACAGTTGTTTATAGCAGATGCTGTAGTTCAGTCTCACTTGATATAGAAAGTATTATTTACAGAAGGTTTTTAACAAGGTTGTAAATGAATAAAAACTGTAGGATGAATTAATTTTGCGAGATCCATCTTGTGGCTTTTACAGCTGAATGTATTTCCTCCATAGCAGTATAAATATGCCAAAAACATTTTACTTCGATAATGAAAGGAGAACAAACTTGGCCTTTTTCCTTGAGTCAAATGTATAAAAATAAGAAATGTCAGTATCAATCCAATTTTTGCTTCAATTTCAGATTAAAGACTCCATAACTCAGAAGACTATTGGTTTGATGAGAATTCAATTTTGGAGGAAAACTGTGGAAGATATATACCATGACAACCCACCCCAGCAGCCAGTTGCAATAGAGTTGTGGAAGGTATAAAATCCAAACTTGTACTAAAATTACAATTATTGCTTTCTCATCACAGGACAAATGGTGCTGGCAGACCAACCTTTTTGGAGTATTCAAGCTAATGCTGATGTTTTGAAATAGAAAACACAAGACTATTTATAGTGTACTTCAGAGTAGAAGCTGAGACCATTTTCTGTAGTCAAAAGCTATGAAGAGGGGCATCCAAGTGTTTTAATTAATTTGTTGAATTATATTTCATTAGGGTATCTGAATTTGATATCTAACTAATCTACAGAATGGGTCCTTGGTCATAAAGAGGACAATTGGAGACTTGGCTTCATAACTCCCTATAGAAATTACTAATCAGACCTCAAGAGAATTGGGAGAATAAAATTACTATATTCTATCCTTTTGAGAACCAGTTTGGGTGAGCAAGGTATCATTCCAAGACTAATTCAAAGTGCCAAGATTAACCTTGAAAAGAATTTGGGGCCAAGTTATCTTAGGGTGTTTTTTCCCATACACACTCATGCAGATGCTAAGATAATAATCAAACGATGACCGGCAGGTAGCTGCCACTTATAGTGCCTTTTTAAAAAGGTGTCCTGTTCAGAAAGGGTTGCTTGGTACCTATATTATTTTGGAAGGACAGACTCTTACTCAGTTTACCAATCTTAAAATCTTTTCATGTTGAAATAAGGAAACCTTTTGTTTATTGAGTATTTTAGACCAAGAGCCGCATAACATCTTGCCATTGGCCATGGTAGGTGGAACTAGTGGGAGTTTGCTGTAAGTCTAAATGATGCGTGCCTGTATTGCTGCTTATACTGCGCTGTCTTCAATCTGATAGTGTTGCTGAGTTTAGCTTTGGTTTGATCTATTCTCTTTAATGTTTGATTATTCTCTTAATCTTATGATTTTAAATATTTTATTGTTAACTGTGCAGGTAATATTTGCCATAGAGTATTATAGTTGATGGATAGCATGCATTCATTATTAATAAGCAATTAAGTAAAGACAGGTGTGAAATGAAAACTTTTTTGCAGCATATTTCTTATTTCTTGGAGTATATATACACAAACGTACACACATTCATAAATATATAGACATACATATAGGCAGTTGAGACCTTTTCTTATTCATAGAATCATAGAATCAAAGAATTGGAAGAGACCTCAAGGGCCATCCAGTCCAACCCCCTGCCAAGAAGCAGGAATATTGCATTCAAAGCACCCCTGACAGATGGCCATCTAGCCTCTGTTTAAAAGCTTCCAAAGAAGGGGCCTCTACCACACTCCAGGATAGAGAGTCCACTGCTGAACTCTCTGCTATTCACTCATCTTCAGTTCTCCTCTCCCGTCACCATGCATTTGGTCTGACTTTGAAGATTAATACAAAACTTGAAGACATGTCTGGACTACAGCCCTTGGAATCTCTGTTGTTGTCCAAAAAGCAACATTTCCAAGCTCTGCCTAATTTTTTTATGTGTTTGAACCTTGATAAAATCTTTTTTTATTTTAAAAATACATTTTATTTTCAAAGTGTAAAACCTCTGCAGGAATGGGAGAGTGGACAGAGATTTTGGGGGTTGTCAGAGGATGTGATTAATCAGCAGAGTGGCTTCAAATATTCAAAAGATTCACTGCAATCTGGAAGAAAAAAATGCCAAACATGCTTATAAATTTCGGTTAAGCTGAGAGTGCCTGTTGTTGTTGTTGTTGCTGCTGCTGCTGCTATTATTATGTTTATTTATATCCTGCTTTTTTCTCTCCAAAAGGAGACTCAAAGCAACTAACATTAAAAGTGTTACGATACAATTTAAAATATACAAATATTAAAACAGTATTAAACATCATTTGTTTTGAAAACAATTAAGATTAAATCCATGAAAACATACAAAACCACAGCAGCCCCTGACATGATCTTAAACACTATCTTTAAAAGCTTGTCTGAATAAAAAGGTTTTAGCCTGTCACCAGAAGGACAACAGGGAGAGGGCCATTCTGGCCCCCCTGGGCAGGGAGTTCCAGAGTCTAGAGGCAGCCACTGAGAAACCCCACTCTCTCATTCCCACCAACCAAGCTTGAGATACAGGTGAGACCCAGAGAAGGGTGTCTCCTGTAGATCTCAGGGCCCGGGCACATTCATACAAGGGGATGAGGTCAGCCAAATAGCCTGGACCTGAACTGTTTAGAGCTTTAAAGGTCATAATTAGCACTTTGAATTGTGCCAGAAATAGACTGGCAGCCAGTGGAGCTGCTAGCCAGTCCCAGTTAGCAACCTGGCTGCAGATCTTTGGATCAGCTGAAGTTTCTGAGCAGTCTTCAGAGGCAGCCCCACCTAGAGTACGTTATAGTAATCCAGATGGAATGTAATTAAGGCATGTGGCCAGATCTGGCTTCTCAAGGAATGTGTCCAGTTGGTGCACCAGTTTTAATTGTGCAAAGGCCCTCCTGGTCACTGAAGATACCTGGGCCTCCAAGTTCAGTGCCGAGTCCAGGAGGACCCCCAAACTGCGGACCAGTGACTTCAGAGGAAGTGTGACCCCATCCAGCATAGCCTGGATTCCTATTCCCTGATCTGTCTTCCAACTGACCAGGAGTACTTCAGTCTTGTCTGGATTAAGTTTCAATTTCTTTGGCCTCATCCATTCCATTACTGCTGGCAGGTCCTCGTTTAGGGTCAGGACCGCTTCCTTGGCTTTAGGTAGAAAGGAGTAGTGGACTTGGGTGTCATCTACATGTAGGTGGCACTGCATTCTAAATCTCCAAATGACCTCTCCCAGCAAGTTTCATGTATATGTTGAACAGAATAAGGGACAAAACAACCCTGTGGAACCCACAGGTCAACTGCCAGGGTTTTGAACAGGAGTCCCCCACCACCACCCTCTGGGTATGGCCCTCAAGGAAGGAACAAAGCTACTGTAAAACAGTGCCTCCCCGTCCCATCCCAGTGAGATGGTCCAGGAGGACACCATGGTCAATGGTATGGAAAGCTGTCGAGAGGTTCAGCATAATCAACAGGGACACACTCCCCGTCTAGTTCTCTGCGTAGGACATCCACCAAGGTAACTAAAGCTGTCTCTGTTCCATAGCCTCTGTCTTCTAACCAAGTGCCAACCATTGTTCCATGCAGGTTGTACGTGTTCTCAGTGTATGTACTGGTGTGCACAGTCAGTAGGTGGCAGGGATGCCTTTGTTCTCTCCAGTTGCTGGGTTCTCCCTCCAGGAAGGGACTGGGATAGATGTGCCAAATTCCTTTTCAATGCCTACCTCAGGAGCTTGGCTTTTGTTCCCTTTTTCCTTTCCAAACAGCTTGTTTACTATGCGTGTGTTGGCTGTGGACTTGTCCAGACTTGTCCCTCTGATTGCCCCTTTTATAAGTCGTAATTTCACTCTTTGTGAGTCAGAAAACAAAGAGAGTCTCAGCAGAGTGGTGTTGCTTAAGTAATTAATTTTTTTCTTCTTCTGTCATAAACAGTACAGACTATATTTCTATTCCTTGATTTCTATGCAAAGTCACACCAAGCACTTCAGTACTCCCAATTGATATTTGGGATAATGTGAAAGAACATTTTGTAGTGCTGCTTTTCAGGTTTTTCTGGCACACAGTCACATGGCTATTAAAGCGTGGGCAGTAGTGTGTTTATTTATTTTCAAGATTTCTGCCGCATCTTCTGGTAAAATCATACCAAAGTAAGTTATTAATGTAGCTGAGTGGTTATATTAGATAAGGCTATATTAGATAAGGTGGTTTCTTACATCCAATAAAATGCAGAGTAATTAAGTTGTAATTAAGGGCCAATGAGAGAAATCCTGGGGATAATAGGTTGGCTTTTCTGCAGATTCCAAGTGTTTTGCTGCTCCAGTGGAGCTTGTGATACGTCCAGAATAAATAGCCTCTTCTTCGTGGAAATATACTTCTAGTGGAGGACAATTTGCTATATGTAAAGCTTAATGAAGCTAAGGACACTGCCTTCACAGTCCCCACTCAAGGTGCTGCTCCTGCTCCTTAGAGTCCTATGCCTCCTTTCCTGTGTGTCTTTCTCTACACATGCATCTCCTTCACCACTGTCTCTTTGACATGCCAGCCATACTTAGCACCACTGCCTTTTAGCTCCCTCTGGCTGCTTCCTCTGTAAAAGCTTCCTGCTAGCCTGAATTGGGTGGTGTTTTGAGCATTGGACTATGACTTTGGAGACCAGGGTTCAGTTCTCTGCTTTGCCATGGAAATTCATTGGGTGACTTTGGGCAGAAAACCCAATGATAGGTCCACCTTAGGGTTGTCGTAAGCCAACAACAACTTTTAAGGCACACAACAATAAAGCCTGAGTGGACAGTAAGCTTTTGTCATGCTAGCCTGAACCCCTGGCTCAGAGTCAGGAACACCGTGTTCATCTGTCAAAGGTCAGATCTCTGGGTAGATGTTTGGCTGTGCGTCTGTCTGTGAGGGCCTCTGCTTTTTCATTTTCCAGTGCTCCCTTCTGTCTACTGGCTATTTTGGCTTCATGTTGCATCCCTTCTTCCTTTCTACTTTGTGTGACTGCTGCTTTCAGTGTTACCTTTGTGAGGTTCCGGGTTTATACATCAAACCTTCAAAGTACAGTGCCTGCAGACTGCTTCTAGCTCAGCTTTGTAGTGACATATGTTAATTCTCCCCTTGGAAGCCCGAGCTTTGCTGTGGAGCTTCCATAATTCATCTTAGACTTGGTAACAAAAATCCTGTGTTTTACTTTTCTCTTGGAGGCATTGTCTTTTTTGGTGTGGTATTTTGTTAGCATTTTTGTACTATATATAGCATGTCTTGTACTTTTCCTTGCATGTGATGGACATACTGTTGGTAGCAACAACTGTATGTGGACTGCATTCTTTAGTAACGTTAATGAAACTGGTATGCGCCTTTAGTGTTTCAAATATCACTATGAAGAACAGATTGTTTATAAAACTAGGTTTTGTAAGTCTAAGTAGATATTTTAACTTTGATATATTCTGAGAGTTACTGTATTAGCCATGTTTTTTCCTCTATGTCAATTTGTAGTATCAGCTTCATGCAAATCCAATGTTTAGCTAAAAACCAAGTATTCTTCTGGAGCAAAGTGAAGTAGAGTCAATTTAAGTCTTTTCTGGAAACAGTTCTTCCATTGGTGGTTACTTTATATGACATGACAGAAGATGACTGTATTGAGTATGTTAAAATGCTTTAAAATATGATCTTATTAATAATGGTTAATTCCAGAGCTTTGACCCCCCCCCCCCCAATAATTTGGTGCATGTCCTGTTTTGTACTGATGATGTCTTGATTTGATTTTTCATTGACTAGGCAGTCAAGAGGCAAAACTTAACCAAAAGATGGCTTATGAAGATTATTGATGAAAGGGTGAGTTTTGCTTTAAAACCCTAAGAAACCCGAGTGAGGGTATTTTTACTTAACAGTATTTTTACTTATTTTTCACAGTTTTTGTGTAAACATTATCTTTTGTTCTATAAATAAAGACTAGGATCTCTTTGGTCCTTGCACTGAGTGAAGAAGCTCATCAAGAAAACATGTGTTCCCATGCACTTAGTTCACTCTGTTCCCGGTTTCCTTCCAACCTTCTGTGCTATTCAAAATTGTGGTCTGGAGAATATCCCAGGTCTCCATAGCATATGTAGAAATGCACAAAGTCATTATGGTGAGGAACCTCCTTCAAGATCTGGCTTTTTCTGTCATTGCAAATAGCAGTTGGATCTTTGTCTGTGTTTTTAAAACTGGAAAACCACAATTGGCCTTCATTCTGATATGCAGCTTTGTTTCCCCTCAAAAAGCCTTGCAAACTGCTAACTCCAGTGAAGTGATCTAAGGATTTCTCAAAAAGGGACTCTGAATATTCTCACGGTGTCATAAATTCAATATTTTTGGGACGAGCCATGACAGATAAAGGTAGTGATCCCTCCATCTATTTATCCTTGAGGGAAAGCCACTATAAAAGCCTTCAGTTACAAAGCTGAGACATAGTTAGAAGGACACTTGTGGATATTGAGTATTGTCATAAACCACTTTTGTGGTGAGTTGGTTTTGATATATGCAGTTCATTCACATTCTTCATCCTCTTTGTTCAAACTCTTAGGAAAAAAATCTGGATGACAGAGGATATCGGGATATCAGTGAGCTTGAAGCATATGCTGAAAACACACAGAGTGCTCTCCTTTATCTCATATTGGAAACACTTGGTGGGTACATGTTGGGGAAGTGTCTTTCGGTGATACATATACTCAAGTAGAAGTTTCTTGTTTAGAATGCAATTTCTGATATGAGGCTGCAGTTTCTTGAAATACTGCAATCACTTCACTTGTAAATATCATGCTGGAAATAGGGACTTGAAGCCTGCCTGCACTGTATCTCATTTATTTGGAGTAGGAAAATCCTTGATTTTTGGCACACAATTTTTTAAAAGTACAATAGCAACAAGGAATGTGCGCTCTCTCTCTCTCTCTCAACGCTTTTTCTAAATTTGTTAGCTGGAGCTTGGGGATACAACCAGGATTCTAACCGTAGATCTTGTTGTAAAAATACTTTTAGATTTCCCTGTCTGCAGTAATACTTTGCTTGCAAATATCATGCAAATATATACCCCATAGCAAATATCATGCAAATATATCATGTAAATATTATGCAAATACATATACCTCATAGTCTTGCCCTCAGTAAGCTTACAAATGTGCAAAATACATGTACTTGTTTAGTTTTGCTTGTAGTTTAAATAGTTCTTTAAAGCATTGACCATGTTCACTTGGAGGTAAATTCTTAATGGCTTTGGTTGGATGTGGATTACAGTAAATGCAAATAGGAGACCTTAGTACTTCTCCATGTTTTGCAGCTATGCTATTCCAAAGATAACATTCTCCCATTCAGGCCAGCCTGGGTTGCTCTTAGTTCAAGAAACACTGGAAACACATCTGGTGAGAACATGAGAGAGGTCTTATCCAATGGGCTACTTTTAAATTTTAAGATTCCCTGCTAAGGAAGGACGAGGTCACTGCTGCCTTTCTGCTGGCCCTTTAATTTTGACAGGCATGTGAGCTGTTCTGTGTCTGAAGGGACAGTTGGGTGTTGGCTTTTTTATTTTTATAGTTGCGGTTTTGTTTTCTTCATTCTGCACTCGTGTCTTAATCAATATTTGGTTTGTAATCTGTATTTTATTATTGTTAACCAACCTGGGTTCCTTTCTGTTGGGAAAATGAGTTGGAAGAAGAGTTAAATTACAGTTTAAATAATCATAGTTTGTTGGGTTCTGTAAATACAGGTGTGAAAGACATTCATGCAGACCACGCAGCCAGTCACATCGGGAAGGCACAAGGCATAGTAACCTGCTTAAGATCTACTCCATACCATGCTAGCAGAAGGAAGATCTTTCTACCCATGGACATATGTATGCTGGTAAGACAATATAACTGGGATCTTACACCAAAACATGGAAAGCGTACCTTTTTGTACCACACCTTTCAGAATGCGCTGACCATACTGACTCGGGATTCTGGAGGCAGAAGTATAAAAGTAACATTCTCAAGCTCTGTCCAACTCAAAATAGTTTCATGTAGTTGCTGAATGGTGTGTTTCCATCATCATTTGATTTGTCGAAAGAGCTTATCTTGACGGTGTAGGTTGGCCTCATGATTTCGGTAAGATAAAGAAGCAGGAAATGGAAAACATTTAAACTTAGTATTTAAAAGAAATCTTACTGTTGTTGTACTTACTGATACAAGTGATTGAGTAGTTTCAAAAATATGATTGTGTGTTAGCTGGGGGAGGAAAATTTGTGCAGAATAGTCAGTGTGCTTTCTCCACAAGCATAAATGAATCTCTCTACTACCGTACATACTCGAGTACAAGCTGACCCGAATATAAGCCAAGGCACCTAATTTTACCACAAAAACTGGGAAAACCCATCGACTCGAATATAAGCTAAGAGTGGGAAATGCAGTAGTTGGGAGTAAATTTCAAAATAAAAATAGATACCAATAAAATTACATTAATCGAGGCATCGGAAGGTTAAATGTTTTTGAATATTTACATAAAATGTAATTTGAGATAAGACTGTCCAACTCTGATTAAACCATTATTCTAACTTCCTTCAATGTAAATGTGCTTATGTATCCTTCCATTAATAATAGAGTAAAATAATAAAGGTAATTAAAATAATGATATAGTAAAATAATGGAAATGTAATAATAACAGTAATAATAATAAGTAATAATAATATAATAAAATAATATTCCCTTCGGGAAGGTAAGATTCCAGCGAGCTTAAAACAAGCTATAATAAAACCGCTGTTGAAAAAACCATCACTGGACCCCACTAAATTCGACAACTATTGGCCATTTTCCAATCTCCCCTTTTTGGGCAAAGTCCTGGAACGTGTGGTGGCCTCACAACTCCAGGTATTCTTGGTAGACACGGATTATCTAGATCCGGCACAGTCTGGCTTTAGACCGGGACATGGAACCGAGACAGTCTTGGTTGCCTTAGTGGATGATCTACGCCGGGTGGCCTTCAACCCCCACAATTCCTTGGGGCTCGGCATTCGCCCCAAAGGCTTACCTTGGCCCAATGCCGAGCCTCAAGGAATTGTGGGAGTTGAAGTTCACCACAGCTGGAGGGCCAAAGGTTCCCTACCCCTGCCTTAGTGGATGATCTGCGCCGGGAGCTCGACAGGGGGAGTGTTTCCCTGTTGTTGCTTCTGGACCTCTCAGTGGCCTTCGATACTGTCGACCACGGTATCCTTCTGGAACGCCTCGCGGGGATGGGACTTGGAGGTACTGTTTTACAGTGGCTCCGGTCATTCCTAGAGGGTCGATCCCAGAAGGTGTTACTGGGAGACACCTGTTCAGCCCCACAACCATTGTCTTGTGGGGTTCCTCAGGGTTCAATACTGTCTCCCATGTTGTTTAACATCTACATGAAGCCGCTGGGAGAGATCATCCGGAGTTTTGGGGTACGGTGTCATCTGTACGCAGATGATGTCCAACTCTGTCACTCCTTTCCACCTGCTACTAAGGAGGCTGTCGAGGTCCTGAACCGGTGCTTGGCCGCTGTAACGGTCTGGATGAGGGCGAACAAATTGAAATTGAATCCAGACAAGACAGAGGTACTCCTGGTCAGTCGTAAGGCCGAACAGGGCATAGGGTTACAGCCTGTGTTGGATGGGGTCGCACTCCCTCTGAAGACACAGGTTCGCAGCTTGGGTGTGATCCTGGACTCATCGCTGAGCCTGGAACCCCAGGTGTCAGCGGTGACCAGGGGAGCATTTGCACAGTTAAAACTTGTGCGCCAGCTGTGCCCATATCTTGGGAAGCCTGACTTGGCCACGGTAGTCCACACTCTTGTCACGTCCCGCCTAGACTACTGCAACGCTCTCTACGTGGGGCTGCCCTTGAAGACGGCCCGGAAGCTTCAATTAGTCCAACGTGCGGCAGCCATGATTCTAACAGGAGCAGAGCGCAGGGAGCACACAACCCCCCTGTTGCGCCAGCTCCATTGGCTGCCGATTTGCTACCAGGCTCAATTCAAGGTGTTGGCATTGGCCTATAAAGCCCTAAACGGTTCCGGCCCAAGATACCTTTCCGACCGCATCTCGGCCTATGAACCCACCAGGACTTTGAGATCTTCCGGGGAGGCCCTGCTCTCGATCCCACCGGCTTCTCAAGCACGGTTGGCGGGGACGAGAGATAGGGCCTTCTCGGTGGTGGCTCCTCGGCTGTGGAACGCCCTTCCTACAGACATTAGGCTGGCGCCATCTCTCATGGCATTCCGAAGAAAGTTGAAGACCTGGATGTTTGTGCAGGCGTTTGAGTAATTTAGTGCAATCTGGTAATGGAACATAGGAATGGAACAATGGACGACGAACCTGGACTACGCTTGGATGATGAGAAGATTGGGTACGGTTGTTTTTTGTAATAATTGTGCATTGTAATTGCTTATTGATAATTTATGGATAATGTGTTGTTATATGTTGTATGGAACCACTGCTGTTTCTACTGTTTTTACTGTTTGTGAACCGCTGTGAGTCGCCTTCGGGCTTGAGATACAGCGGTATATAAGCAAAGTAAATAAATAAATAAATAAATAATAAATAATATACTGTAATATAATTACTTTCTCTTTGGTTTTAGGGTCAGCTAAAATACATGTAATAAAAATAAATATAGTACAATAATACATGTAATAAAAATAATAAATATAGTACAATAATAAATGCAATATAAATAATAGAGTAAAATAATAAATGTATTATTATTATTATTATTATTATTATTAATAATAACAACAGCAGAGTAAAATAATAAATAACTCTGACTGAAGTATAAGTTGAGGGGGCTTTTTCAGCCTAAAAAAGGACTGAAAAACTTGGTTTATATTCGAGTATATAGGGTAATTCAGCAAACATTGTCTAGCTATGCATGTTCCTCACTTTTATTATCTGCTGTGCTGTAGTTGGGTATCTGTATTATATAATCAAGGGTAGGCCTTCCATCAAACTATGTGTGGAAGCTGCTGCATCTAGCAGGCTTTGAAGTGTAGGGAGCAGCCAAGAGATAGTGGAGAGCAAAGCTTTGAGTTTCATGCCACCTAACATACCTAACATATGTCCATAAGTGGGCTTGCCATCCTTAGATTCAAGGAAGTACACTCTTCTGTCACCAGTTTTGAAAATTCAACTGCCTGCCCAATCGGTTTCAGTATGAGGAACTGTAGTGGTGCCGATAAGGGTACATTATTATCAACATGGTCATGCATGCTTGCAATATTACTTTAAGGTAATAGTTTGTCTTCTTCCTAATTGATTTCCTATAAATGTTTTTAATTTCTCTTTGTTTTTATATCTCTTCCCTGATCACTTTCTTCTGGATATATTAGCATGGTGTTTCCCAAGAAGATTTCATAAGGCATAATCAGGAGAAAAAAGTTCAAGATGTCATATATGATATAGCTAGTCAAGCACATGTACATCTGGGCCATGTAAGTTTCAAGTTTTTTTTGTTGCAATCTCTACAAATGTCTTTCCTGTTTCTTGACATAGTAAATGGCCTCCTTCATCTGAACTGCCTTCATATAATGATTTAAGGGAATGGAGGCAATTTTATCATGTTCCACACTTGCAGGAAGGAAGACATTTGCTGGAAGTAACTTCTGGTTCTGAAAAAAGGACTTTTCTGCCCCAAAAGCAGCCCAACAGGCCCCCCAAAATGGCATAACTGTCCCTTATGCCTCCTAAACAACATAGAGAAATTTTAAAATTCTCCCTCTCCCTTTTTTGGCATGTGTGTATATGCAGCCCAGCCCTTTGGCCTTGTAAAGATGAAGCAGGAGAGCCAAACACAGTGTGTGGCCAGCACTTTCTCCACCATTTCCTAGGATAAGCTACTTACCCTCCATAGATTACAACTTTCCAAAAGGGGAGCATAGCCATGCTAATTGGATTGGTTAACACTGATCTACTGAACTTTCAAGATTTAATACCAGATGTGCAAACCCAGAGTTTTGACATATAACCCTCCATTTGTAAGCAGTAGAAGCATACTTAAAAATTGATGGGGAACACTAAAGTGTCTGCGGCAATGGCAGCTCATGGTCCAAACAGTAAAATTAATTGTTTAAATGCATGATAGCCTGGTCTGCATGTCTATGTTATTTCAGGATGGCCCAGATTACGGCCCTCTGTCTTCAATATTGTGTAGGCTACCCTGTGCTTGGATGTTCTTTGCTCCCAAAAGTGGACCTTGCAGTAAACAAAAACTTGGGCAAATGACAAGAAGGGAAGTGAAATGTTATGGGGAACCAACACAAGGTGCCAACCTATACTGTGACTTGGGCCAGATTGCAGCCCTCATGGTTCCTTTTTCTCCAAGGCAAAGCAGCTAGTTTGAGCCTGCTTTTTCTACAAAGTGGTTTATTGTTATGATCCAATTAAAGGTATCCCTTAGTGACATTTGCCTAGATATTTTTCAGAGAGCCTGTCTGAAAGTTTGTATTAAATGACTGGTGCTGTCTAAAACTCAGGCCAGGTGGTATTTCTTGTTTATGATGCTTTTCCGCAAGCTTTGTAATGGAGATTTAAAAGGAATTGGCTCTCTTATGTCTGGGCTGTTGTTCTAGCCAAAGTGGCACACAGGCAAGCTAGGAGGAGACAAAATAATAGAACAAAAAGAAATGAGCTATATAACTGATACCCCAGTACTGACATATCCTAGATTGCTTGGCAAAACCATACTCATTTCCTTTTGTTTTGTAGTCAGGACCTATCCAGTTCCTGCTGTAATGTGATGCAGTGTGGACAGGCCTTTGTTACAAGCTCAGCTGTTTCTTTTGACTGTCTGCCTGTTGCCTCCCCTTGCAAGCTGCTCTGCTGCTGATTACCTACTAGGTGAAATAATTGTTTGGCAAATATTTATTAATTGGTGCCTTTCCTTTAGGTGTCATTCTCATTTTAAAACTGAAAAGTATGTGTTTTAAAGGTGTCAGTTGTAGTTGAAAAGATGCCTTACAAGAAGTGAATTTAGTTCAAGGTTTTGGTATAGTTACACAGTCAGGGCTAAGTCTGTATACCCAGAATGAGCAAAGCATTCACTTACTTAAGTAAACATTGGCTATATATTAAAATAGATGGGTGACTATGAAGCTTGAAACAGGTTTCTTTTCATTCATGGCCAGTAGAGGGCAAAATAAGCCTTCCCCAAGAACATTCAAATTTGCTTGCCTTTTGGCATCCTCAAAATTCTAAAGCTAATCTTGCCAAATGTTGTAATTTCTGCAAATAATTTAAGTTCCCTTCTTCTTGTTAGGTTTAAGTCATTATATTAGGGAGGTCTAAGAAAGTAACTTTTGAGAGGGGTAGTGTGGATGCCATATTGCTGGGGCAGAGGGGTGGGCACAATAGTCTCAGCTTCTTCCTAGTCTCTCTCCCCCTTTCTCTGGTATTACTTTGGCATTGGCTACTTAAGCCGTCCTGTCATGAATTATCTGGATTCCATTCCCCCAGCTTAGCATCTTTAAAGACCCACATATCTCCTTTACTGTGCCATGAAACAATATCGGGAAGAAGCAGACAAATCTCTGGGAATGTACCACATCTGTCAGCTATTTTATCCAAACAAGGAATTTGACATTCCTATTTCAGTTTTTTCACTGTCTATTTACATTGTCCTTGGATTCTCTGCATTTGTCTTCAAAAGCTCTCCATGGTCATGTCCCTCTTTTTATTCCCACCCTTGTATCTCATGTGATTGCTTACTTTTCCTGCTCTACTTAACCATTGGCTATTGAAAGACACCTCCTTTTTTCTTGCTGCCATCATCATCATCACCATCATAGCCAAAATCCTGTTGGGCAGTTACATGTTTGTAACTTACAATTACGCCTTCACAACTGCTGCATATTCATGATTCTTGTGCAGTCCCTACTTTAGGGGCTATGAAGGGAACATAAAAGTGCCCTAAACTCCACTTCTCAATAAGCAGCTACTGCACGACAGGGATCCATTCCCAAGTTGATCAGAAAGCAGTTGCTTGATATTCCTACCTCCATTCCCTCAAGTGACTTTCAGCATGAGGGGATTTGTAACAGAGTCCTTTTTCTGCATGTCGCACAGGAGTTTGCTCATGGAAGGTATGGGAATGTCAGGCAGCTGCTTCACAGTCAATGAGAACAGATCCATTTCAATCCAGAGGATCCAGTGCTTATTGATAAATATGGTTTACTATGGGGGGGGGGGGTAGAATTTACCATATAGCAGTCATTACCGTGCTACATAGTACAGAATGGTCATATAGAATTCTGCTGCAAGGATGACACTTCTCATTTCTATTTCTTCTTTCTCCCAATGAGATCAAATACTTTTACCCTTTTATACTTGATGCTCCTTTCCTTGGAGATGTTCCCCACAAACGCCTGTGTGATACTACTTTCTACATTTCCATCACATCCCTTCTCAACTAAAGTACATATTTTTCCCTTTTACTCCTGCCATCCAGCTGTCATCCCCTCATCGTTGCCTTTTTCAGTGCCTATTTTAGACACTAAGTGACTTGGGACCAGGGACTTGTCCTTTTGGTGACCATTCAAAAATATAAATAATCGGATTTGATCTTCCACCTTTTAATGCTCCTACTATTGAAAACCTGTCCTGCATAGAAATTTTGAGAAGCCAGGAAAGTCACAGATTCCATTCTTAGCAGAAGATTAGGGAATGAGTCTTTCATTAAATTTGTGTCCTAAAGCATAACAAAACATTTACCTCTTATCTGTGCGGGCAAATGTGGAGTCAACACTCTTCCAGTCTCCCTTTTGGTATTACTGAGAGGTCATAGCTTTCTCCTGTTAGACCAGTGGCTCTCAACCTGGGGTCCCTGTGTGTTTTTGGCCTACAACTCCAAGAAATCCCAGCCAGTTTACCAGCTGTTAGGATTTCTGGGAGTTGAAGGCCAAAAACATCTGGGGACCCCAGGTTGAGAACCACTGCCTTAGACCTTCACATTGCATAATAGCCAGTTAATGAATATGTATTGTTGTAGACTTTCATGGCCGGAATCACTGGGTTATTGTAGGTTTTTTCGGGCTATATGGCCATGTTCTAGAGGCATTCTCCCCAGATGTTTCGCCTGCATCTATGGCAAGCATCCTCAGAGGTAGTGAGGTCCTCACTACCTCTGAGGATGCTTGCCATAGATGCAGGTGAAACTCAGGAGAGAATACAGGAGAGAGTGTGCTAAAACGGTCTTTCAGGACAGGCAGTCTCCAAACAAGTTACAAACAAGATCAGTTTTGTAGGTTTGTTTGTAAGCTGAATTTGTATGTAAGTCAGAACAGATATAGATGCATAAGGAAGGGTTAACATCCCTGTGGTCTTTGTTTTACAGTTTGAGCAGGATAATTGATTTTGAAAAAATTGGTTTGTTGTGGAAACAAGGATTGGCGAGAAAGCTTCAGTTTAGACATCTTTCCCTCATGATAACTCATCCAGGAGTGAGTTGCCCTTCTGAGGGGTAGTTTTCTTTCACTTCTTGTTGTCTCAACCCCTTCTTAACTATGAGTCATTTATAAGTGGGATGTTTGTAATTCGGGGACTGCCTGTAGTTCTACAAAAAGAATTGATGATATAGCATGAATAGGCAACATCCAAGAGTCCAGATTCCCAGCAGTCAGTGGAATGAAAGGCTTCATCAGCTCAAGAATGTATTCAGAAATTCCAATCCATTAAATGTGGGTTGAACAGAGATGTTTTCCTGCCACACTACACCTGTTACAGCTAGTTAACACCCCAACCTCATGAGGGCAGTCTTGTTCAGTTTATCACATCTCCTTTCTGTTCCAAGCCAGCTTTACACTACATTCCAATAATTCTCCACATCATCCATATGGTTATCCACCGAACTTGGCCTTCGGCAACATCAAGAGCCATCCTTAAAATTAAACTTGTCACCTCATCACTATACCCACAAGTTTTGTATTTCTATGACTATTCATACATTGTGTCCATACAAGACAATTCCTAGACATCATTACACTCTGTGCATCTGAGGAAGTGGACTGTCTATGGACAGTTTATGCTACAGCCTCTTTCCTCTAGTTAGTTTCAAAGGTGGTCTATGCTGATAGTCCAAGCTAACACAACAAAGCCTTTGAATTTTACATCTTAAGAGTCTGTCACTTTCACTGTTACTGGTTCTTATTTGGTGACTCCTGTGGAATGCGATGCAGTGGCTCCCTACTAAGCAGTCTCACTCTTGCCTTTGTTGCTCAGATGTGTACATCAGCTCTATCAAGTATATTTGAGTGAGCAAATATTCATCCCAGGGCTTTATCCTCCTCTAATTTTTTTTTAAATGATGGTCCAGCATGTCTCTGTGTGTGTGTGTTTTGATGGTGTGCGAGAGATGGCACAAGGAAAATATATTTTGGGATCAAAATTTACAGATAAACTCAAATATTGTGCTGTATTTTCCTAGTCTATTACTGACTCTTGCTCTGAAATATGTCTTACTTGGCATGGCTTTTTTTTACACCGTACTGTAATATTAAGATGGGTTCCAGCTCAAGAGAAATCTTTCTAACTTACTTTTTAAATTGATATCCTGTATTACTCCCAGAAGCAGATTAGAATTAACTAAAACAAGTAGAAGTATAACATCAAGCAAATGAAAGCATAATCTAATTAAAACAAAATCTCAAAACATTTGGTGTTTATTTACACTTTATACAGTGACTGAAACTTGAACCTATTTTCTGACCTTTTTTCTCCAGGCAAGGTCCTTCAGGAAAAATGTTCCTGCTAAAGCATTTCCTGCTTTTCTCTGTACAGTAAGTAGCCCTGCTGCATTTTTACTGTATAAAAATAGGTTAGATTCGCAGTGAAACATTGATACTGCGTGAACTTTGTAAATACTTCCTGAAAGTACAGGAAGTATTTCCAAGAGTGCATCCATCTAGGGAATGCTCCTTTCTAACAGGTCTAGCCCAGTGAAATGCAGATTTTCTTTCTTTATCTCAAGGTGTAAGTATAAATTAGATAAATTATTTTCACTTCTACTTTTGATAGCCTGACATATTCGTGTCTAAGAATGCAACATGCTATTTTGTTTTAATCATTGTAAGTTTGTATTTCATCTGTTTCTGCTTCTTAATACCTTGACATATAACTATAATAAAACAAGATTTTTTTCTCTTCTTTTTCAGGTTGCTATTGAGGATTATTTAAATGAAATACAAAAGGTTGACTTCAATGTATTTCATCCAAGCTTGCATCGGAAGAACACTTTACTACCTTTGCGTTTGTATATTAGATCATGGAAGAAAACTTATTAAATATTATTTAACAAGAGATTCCTCTTTATTAATGCCTTTTTAAAAGCCTCATTCATTCTGCAAGTTGTTTTGATATCATGTATGAGCTTACTTTACCATTCTTCTATCCATGTCTCTTATTCCTTACAATTCTCTCAGATGTGCCTTAAGAATGTCACAGGGATGATTTCCCAGCTGAGGCAAAATTAGAACCCGTATCTTCCCCTCCAAATGCAGAGCAACGTATTTAGCTTGTGATAGGAGGAGGCTAGGCAGCAGGGGATGCAGTTTTTGTTGACATCATTCCAATCATGTTTCTTGCACATCATTTAACCCTTGAAATATTTAAACATGGGATAGGGGGCTGCTGGCTTCTCTAAAAATATGTGGGGTATCTATATGAAGCAGGAGGCCACACATTATCTTTCTCTGTCTAAAAAAGGGCAAATTGCCTCTTAGAATCATAGATTAACAAAGTGGGAAGAGACCACATGGGCTATCTAATTCAACATGTTGTTCTGAGATAGTTTTAAACAACTGGTTTTAAAGTAGATATAACTGATTTTAATGTTTGTCTATATTTATAGTTATTTAATGTTCTGACATGGAATACATGGCGTATATATATGCTGTGCTCTGCCCTGAGTCCCCTTCAGGGTGAGAGGGGTGGAATGTAAATGTTTCAAATGAACAAATAAATAAATAAATCCCCTTGCCATGCAGGAAAAGCGCAATCAAAGTACCCCCAACAGGTGGCCAGCCAGCCTCTGTTTAAAAGCTTCCAAGGAAGGAGCTTCCACCACACTGCACAGCAGAGAGTTGCACTGCTGAACAGCTTTTACAGTCAGGAAGTTCTTCCTAATGTTCAAGTGGAATCTCCTTTCCTGTAATTTGAACCCATTGCTCCAAGTTCTAGATTCCTGGGCAGAAAACAGGCCTACTCCCTCTTCCTTATGACATCCTATCACATATTTATATATGGGTAGTTGGCTACTATGTCTCCTCTCAACCTCTTCTGCAGGCTACACATACCCAATTCTTTAAGACACTTCTCATAGGACATGGTCTCCAGCCTTTTGATCATCTTAGTTGCCCTCCTCTGGATGCCTCAGAGTTAATTTACATTGTAAATAAGTTTCAGTACTCCTTGTATCTATTTTTCAAAATTAGCATTGGACTGTCAGCCACATCTAGTTGTTTTGTTTTATAGTTAATTTTTGACAGTCCATATTCGTCCTGGATGGTTCTGGGACAGAAAATTGACCCCTAGACCCAGCAAAATTTCCCCACCCCCATTAAAAACAGTTATATCCTGCCTTTCCTTTTGAAAACTCAACTTGGCTAATAGTAGGTTAAAATAACAAAATTACAAAACCTGAAAAGAGCAAAATAAAAACAAAGGAAGGAGTCAAGTTTTGTTAAACCAATTGAACATTCCAGCAGAAAATAATTATGTGTAGAAGATAAAAATCGTTAGATATCATGGATGCTTAAAACTGTTTATTTTAAAACCTTCTGAAATTAGGTTTAATCAGCCTTCCTCAGAATAGAGTTCAAGAATCAAAACATAGCAATTTGAGAACAAACTCTGAAAAACCAATGCTACTTGTTTAGAAGAGCTTCCTCAAACATCCAGTCTGAAATAGTCTCATAGCAAGACACTTCATCTTCACAGCCATTCCCAATAGCTGAGGATGAAGGAAATTGCAGTAAAATACATTGAAAGAGTGCCATTTAGAGTCCATGCTCTGAATTTTCCTTAAAAGATTAATAGCAATACAGAAGTAATTTGTATCTTTTTGATCAAGCCTTACAGAAGTATTAGGTATTCCATACTTGTCTCTAAAGGAAGCTTGAGAAGTAGCTGGAAGGGGACAGAGGTGTATCAATGGCAGAATGTTTCTTAGAGGAAGTTAAAGCAACAGTGTTCAAGTTGATGCCCTGCAATTTGGTCCAATTAGTTATAAGTCAGGATGTTGGTATGAAATAAAATATTCTTGCCATGTGAGATTATAATTAATGACAAAATACATGTCAGACTGGTTTTAAAGTGTTTGTGAATATATTTGAAGAATCTGCAGTGTCTTGTAATATTATTACAAATATTAAGTCCTTAACAGCATAACTAATAATAGTCTGCAGAAGAGAAGGCTGAGAGAAAACATGATAGCCATGTATAAATATATGAGGGGAACTCAGAGAGGAGGGAGCAGGCTTGTTTTCTGCTGCCCTGGAGACTAGAACAATGGCTTCAAACTGCAGAAAAGGAGATTCCACCTGAACATTAGGAGGAACTTCCTAACTGTGCAAGCTGTTCAGCAGTGGAACTCTTTGTCCCGGACTGTGGTGGAGGCTCCTTCTTTGAAGGCTTTTAAACAGGTTGGGTGGCCATTTGTCGGGGGTGCTTTGAATTCTTTTTTCCTTCTTCTTGACAGGGGGTTGGACTGGATGGCCCATGAGGTGTCTTCCAACTCTATGATTCTAGGGGATGATGAACATGATAATCTAATATTTAGAGAGGACCACAAGTTGCAAGCCTCTGCTTTAGACCATCTACTTTGCCATTATCTATATCGGTGATTCCCAAACTCTAGTCTTCCAGGTATTTTGGACTTCAACTCCCAGAAGTCTCAGCTGCCTTGGCCAATGACCAGGGATTCTGAAGGCTGAAGTCCAAAATTCCTGGAAAACCAGAGTTTGGGAGTCACTGATATATACTAGCCATCCCACAGAAGCATGGATAAGAAGCATCAATTTATTTATTTATACCACCCTTCTCAGCCCTTAGGCGACTCAACTCTCTTTTTCCTCAGCAAACTTTCAATAATAATAATAATAATAATAATAATAATAATAATAATAATAATTTTCCACATCTCCTTTCAGGTTGAGGCAAGGCACAACAAAATAGCTTTCTTACTATGTACAGTTGAACAAATTACCAATAATGGATGGGGATATTGTTATGGCAGAAAGAGCTGTTGCTGTGAAATCCAGTAAAGAAGCAAGATCCAAATGTACAGAATGGGTTAATTTGATAAAGTAGAGTCCATTTAAGCCTTTTTCCAGGCTAAATACTGTGTTTTGCAGTCATTCTTGTCTTGCTGAATGGATTTCAGCATGCAGTATGCCCACTACCACCAACTTAATCAGGATTAATCTCCCTGACTGCTTTATTGTGTAACAGAATTCTGGGCTTTTAGTGCACGGTATGCGCCGTAATGAGTTTCATCTTAGAAGAAGATCTGTTTTGCCATTTCAATCAGAGGATCTGTTACTCTGTGGAAGAAAACTTTGAATGTCCAGAAATAATTCCTTATTGGGAAAACCTTTACAGGCTGTGCTTTGCTAACCGAAGCTTTGTTTAGAAGACACACATGTTGAAGCAAAGTGGCAGCTTGCTGTTTAATGATTTATATCTTACTGAAGGGGCTAATTCCAGGAGTTTCTGCTTCCTCTGTACAGTTGGGAATATGACAATCTTTGCCTTCCTTTTTGGGTATGGTGGGACTGACCCCAGATTTGATCCCCTATATTAAAAACAGAAAATGTATTGAAATACTGGCAGTGCTGGTTCCACTAATTCCTGCTGTGTTTAGTAGGATTTGTTCCCAGGTGTATAGGATTGCAGCCTTGGTCTTTCTACCCAATAAGGTCTGGTTTCCATTAAGAGTGGCTCTGTTGTTTACATGCTGAGGACTATAAAGGTTTTGATTCAGGGCTGGATTTCTCTGTCTCTAACAGCCCTGGTTTTTTTAAACTTCTGCAGTGAACTTCAGGCTTGTATAACAATACACACCCTATCGCATCTGTGGTCATTCTTGGCACTTGCTCTGTTTTGCTTAGGAAAGAGACCTTTTTTTCATACTGCAGCCTTGGTGTTCTGTGATCATACAAGCAAACCTTGGGCTGTCAGTTGCACAAACAAAATCAAAGTAGAATCAAATGTGCTGGTTCAGCCAGTCCTAAACAAAAGTGAAGGAATTCCAAAGGATACCACAGTTATATTTAGTCTTCTTGAGAGGGCTTTACTAACCAGAGAATGCTCTTCAATATCAGCAGTAATAGCAGGAGTAGCAGCAAGACAGTAATATTTCTAGCCTCCTCACTTTTTCCAAATACTGTCAATTCTTGCTGGTGATACATATTTTTTCTTAAAAGGGTGGATTGCCAAAAACTTCAGTTGAGCTTGAAATTAGTCCTCTATTCCTCCACATTTTTTGAAAAGCAGTTGATACATATTCAATGATTTCACTGCTGATTGGTCTGGATATAGTCTACATAGAATAATTTACTTGAGAAATTGTATGTTTTTGTGGAAAACGTTGCCATACATTTTTTATTACATGTCCAGGTTTAGCTACAATTAGTACTGCAGTTTGTATTGATGGAAACATGTTACAGTTGCAACTAAATCTGAGCACCTGCCCCCACCTGAGCACCTGTTTATGTTTGCTATGTAAGTACAGATTTAAACTGATGCTATTTGAATGAATGACTAAATGAGCGCTGATATGGTAAAATATCATACAAAAATGCACAGGACAGAGATATTCATAAAACATTAGCTCAAATAACTAGACTCGAGAGCCTGCTGTATCAAGTAAAACATTAGACTAGACTTTCAACTTAAAAGTTGGGATGTGAGGTGAGGTTGGCATATGTTCACTGTTTGTCCACTGTTTGTCTCTTGGTTCTTGACCAAGCTTACAGGAGCAGTAACCAAAACCCAGTGGCAAAATATATGGTTTATCCAGTGGCATCTCTGGTGATCAGGATGATGTTATGTGAAATGTGTTCCTTCCTTGAGACCCTGGAGTAAATCTTATGAATGCATCCAGTTCTGGGCATCACAATTTAAGAGAAACATTGACAAGCTGGAACGTGTCCATAAAAGAGCAACTAAAATGATCAAAGTTCTAGAGACCAAGCCTTATGAGGAGCATCTTAAAGAACTTGGTATGTTTAGCCTGGAGAAGAGACATAACTATGTTTAAATATTTGAAAGGCTGTCATAAGGAAGAGGGAGCAGGCTTGTT